AAGAAAGCCATTCTCTGTCAGAGAAATAGAAAGCACAGCTGGTTCAGACCAGGCGCTCGCAATACCTGCGAGCAGCTGTTCCTGAGGAAGATGCAAGAAATCACTCCAGACAGCCAGAGAACCGTTTACTTATCAGGAAATCTCTTCCTAATCCCTGCATAAAGTGATTAAACACAATGGCACATACCCCATATATTAAATATTAATCCTTCCTAATGTGGCTGCCGATGTTCTGGTTATCCAGCTCAGGTATGAAATGCTCACAGCATGCAATCCCTTTTCCATCCCTAACCACATAAATCCAACACACAAACCCCAGTGCAAGACAGCAGAAATATTTTGTGACCCAATTAGAGAACAAGGCTGGTATCTGGTGATACTCCCTGAGCCTCGCAGCGAAATGGGATGGCCCCAAAAACAGCCTAGCAGCTGGGAAGGAGTTAAAAGCAGAGAGATGAATCAGCCCCCTGCCATAAACAGAGACATTTCCTACCTCTTAGCTCTAGTGCTTCTTCCTGTCCGCAGGCTTCCGAGATGCCTGTGTACCTGGTCACATTCAAATGATTTCCACCGCAACAGGAAAGAGAGGCATTTGGTTTATTTTAAGAGGAAAACCCGATTTGTGAATGAGACCAGAAAATGGCCATAAAGGCCAACCTCCCTCCCACCCAGCTCCAACACGGAGGTGTCAGCCAGGAGCTGGTGCATCTGCTCTACTGTCTGCGGCTCTGCCGAAGCATACGGGCACCACGTTTTGGCCAGAAAGCATGAACAAAGTGTTACCATGGGGAGAAAAATAGAAAAATAAAGGTATTCTGCCCAGCACTGCATTGAATTGTAGCGATTCCATAGTGACTCCGTGGGGTTTCAAACCTATCTGGGAGACGAGCAGCATACAAAACCCTGCAGCTCCCACGCTCGCTGCACAGCCATCGCCCAGCACTTTGCATGCAAAGCAAAGTGGCTGACATGGCTCAGTCCATGCATACCGTCCTGCTGACCTGGGATCCCCCTCCTGCTGAAGAGCTCAGCCTCCAAAATCCCCCAGCAAAGAGGGTCTGAGAGGAACAGACAGCGGAGACACGGAGAGAAGGATTTCAGAACGCTCTTCCATGAGGATGTTAACGTTGGACGTGACCCAACGGCACGGAGCTGCACAAAGCATCAGTTATGTGAGGGTGACATTTCAGAAAAGCAGAGCCATGTATCCTATTAGCTCGAAAACAATACAGCCAGATCAATGCCAGGACAGCGGTGTCCCTGGAAACATCTCTTTTCTCTAACTAACACCAAGCAGAAACTCTGGAACACCCCCCCCAAAGCCCCTCCAGGATATCCCCACCCCAAAGGACAGAGCACAGCAACGCCCGTTTCTTTTCCAGCCAGTCCAGAAAGCAAACCTCCAAACCTTTTCAAAGCACACAGCGAGCTTCCCACCAACCACGGGCACAGAGGGGATGAGTAATATTTGAGCTGCACAGAGAAACGCTCTGCAAACGCCCCGAGTAAATTCCTGAGGCTCTCAGAACCCCATCCCTCCTCCTTACGAAACGGCCCAGCTGGAACCTCGCAGCTCTCATTTTTCCTCATACAGCCCTGACACGGGGCTGGGATGCCTCCGGATCTTAACAGGAGGTGTTTAGCGAGAGGAAAAGATATTAATGATAATAATTAAAAAGCCTGCCTTCCTTCTTGTCGTGTTCTTCATTCTCGATAGCGTGGGAGGGGAAAGACGAGCAAAGGTTGGCCAGGAGGAGAGCAGCACAGCGTGGTCGTGAAGGTTGGGATGGAGCTTTGCCATCGTTGGACCCAACCAACGTCTGCCCCTTTTCTCCAACACCTCCAGGGACGCTCACTGTTTCCCTGCCCGATCCACTCCAATGCATCACAGCTCTTTCGGAGGAGAAACGAGGAGAAACGATCCCAGTAACCCAACCGACCCCCATATGCCCAACTTAAGGCCGTCGCCTCTCGACTTATCGCTACCGACCCCCCCCAGAAAAAAAGTTTGGGGGCTTCCTTTAAGCGAACCCAGGAGCCCGGAACGATGAGGCCGAGCTCCACCGCACGGAAAGAAGGGAAAAGGATCCATTCGTGGAACCCCCCCCCCCCCGCCGCTGCTGCTGCTGCTGCTGCTGCTCACCTGCGGGCGCGGGGCCGGGCCCGCTGCTCTCTCCCTCTCTCCCCGCCTCTCTCGCCGCCGCCCAACGGCTCCGCTGCGAGGCCGCGACGGCCGGGAGCATGGACGGAGGGAAGGGACGCGGCCGCAGGGGGTTTGGTGGGGGGCCCGGCGCTGTCCAACGCCGCCTCTCAGCGCCCCGCCGCGGGGCTGCCGGCCATCAGCGGCGCCCCCGCTGCCGCCCGCCCGCTCCCGCTCCCGCCGCCGCCGCCGCCGCCATGGTGCGGCTCCATGCAGGGCGCGCACCGCTGACAGGGGCGGGGCGGGACGAGGGGCGGGGATAGTGGGGGCGGGGCTACGGGCAATGGGCGGGGCTAATGGGCGGGACCAATGGGCGGGACCGATGGGCGGGACCGATGGGCGGGACCAATGGGTGGGACCAATGGCAGGACCAATGGGCGGGATCAATGGGCGGGGCCAACAGGCAGGGCCAATAGGATGGGTTAAGGGGAGGGGCTTTGGCCGGTAGTGGGCGGGGCGAGAGTTTGGCAGGCGATCCCGTAGTGCTGTGGTCCTTTCCAGGCGGGTTCCATGTGCTGAAAGCACGGCTTGCAGCGAGCTCAGCTGGGGATAGGGCTCCTGCTCACACCGAAAGCCGGAGAAGGGATGAGAACGCGTAATTAATAGGGTAGAATCGTAGAGTGGTTTGAGTTGGAAGGGACCCTTGCAGGCCATCTGGTCCCACTCCCTGCACTGAACAGGGACACCCACAGCTGCGTCAGTGCTCACAGCCCCATCCTGCCTTACCTTGGGTGTCTGCAGGGCTGAGGCACCCACCACCTCTCTGGGAAACCTTTGCCAGTGCTTTGCTACCCTTAGCGTAAAAAAAACATTTTCATTATGTCCAATTTAAATCTTCCCTCTTTTAGGTAGAAACCATTTCCCCATGTCCTACCACAACAGACCCTGCTGAAGTTCTGCCACCTTTCTTCTCATAGCCCCCTTTAAATATAGAACGTTCCCCCCATTTTAGCATATAAATCCTCAATCCAGGCCACCTGGAAGCTCATGAATATGCATACAGCAGCACTATGGGGATTGCTGAGTGGGTGCAACAGAAGTCACCACCTGAGCTTGGTGCCAATCTCACAAACTGCTTATGGGGCAGAGAAATATTTTCTGCTGAGCTTTTACCTTTATTTCAACACAAAATGACAGCAACCTGACCCAACCAGGATGTGCTGTGCTCTGCTCATTCCATCAGCATTCTCCCGCTCTGTTTGAAACCTGGATTTTAGCTTGGGTCTTTGAGGGCTCAGTGTTCTCCTCCAGGACCCCGTCCTCATGACACAGGGATATTAAAGAATCACAGGAGTTGGAAGGGACCTCTGGAGATCCAACCTCTTGCTAAAGCAGCTTCCCTATATCAGGTAACACACGAAAGCTTCCAGATGGATTTAGGAATATCCACAGAGAGGGAGAATCCACGCTTCGTGTTTGTATTCATATCACACTGCTGCCATCTGCCGGCTTGTGCCCGGGGTTGTGAAACAGCTCTCCTTGCTCAAAATCACGGCTTTTGGGGAAAACGTGTGACTCCGAATTTTTGACTTTTTTTTTTGGTTGTTGTTGCTGACGCAGTGGAAGGAAGGGATGCCATTCAGAGGGACCTCAACAAACTTGAAATGTAGGCCCGAGTGAATCTAATGAGGTTCAACACAGCAAAGTGCAAGGTTTGGCACTTGGGCTGGAGAAATCCCAGGCATCCATACAGACAGGAAGGAGCAGCCCTTGAGAGCAGCCCTGCAGAGAAGGACCTGGGGTTCCTGATGGATGAAAAGCTTAACATGAGCCAGCAGTGTGCTCTTGCAGCTCGGAAAGCAAATGGAATCCTGGGCTCCATCAGAAGAGGGGTGGCCAGCAGGGACAGGGAGGTGATTGTCCCCTTCTACTCCGCTCTTGTGAGGCCCCATCTGCAGGACCTTGGTACTGTACCCAGGGACAGCATGGGGCTCCCAATACAAGAAAGACAGAGAGCTGTTGGAGAGGGTGCAGGGGAGGGCCACAAAGATGATCAGAGGGCAGGAGAAGACAGATGAAGACAGGCTGAGGGAGCTGGGCTTGTTCAGCCTGGAGAAAAGAAGGCTGCGGGGTGACCTCATGGCAGCCTTCAGTAACTAAAGGGAGCCTACAGACAGGAGGGGAATCAACTCTGCGAAAGGTTTGATAACAGCAGGACAAGGGGAAATGGTTTGAAGTTGAGGAGGGAAGATTGAGGTTGGGTGTGAGGGGGAAGTTCTTGACAGAGAGAGTGGTGAGGTGCTGGAACAGCTGCCCAAAGAGGCTGTGATGCCCCGTCCATCCCTGGAGGTGTTCAAGGCCAGGTTGGATGGGGCCCTGGGCAGCCTGGGCTGCTATGAAATGGGGAGGTTGGTGGCCCTGCATTTGGCAGGGGGTTGGAGCTTCATGACCCTTGAGGTCCCTTCCAAGCCTGGCCATTCTATGATTCTATGACGTGATTCTGTGATTTATGGTGGCAAAGGAATTTACAGCTGATGATAACACAGCACTACGAACATTAAACCTGTCCAGACTCTCGAGTTTAGGGCGCTCCGAGTCACAGCAGGGCCCGAAGGCCAGGGCCAGGCCTGTCTCTCCTCCCAGGGCTCCGCCTATCACCGCCCTTCCGTCAGGGACGGACGGGCGCGGTGACCAATGAGAAGTGTGCACGAGGTGGTGGGCGGGGCTCGGCGCTGACCCGGGACGGGCGGAGGTGGCGGCGGACGCAGGTGGGGCCGGATACGGGATAAGGGCAGGGAGAAGGACGGGGATCGGGAGAAGGACGTGGACCGGGGCTGGGATCCGGGTTAGGAGGTCCGATCTCTCTTTTCCTTCGTGTCCGTGGGATTTTGGAAGCTGCCGCCTCGGGGCCGGGCGCTGCGCCCGCTTTCTCTTCCTCTTTCCGTTGGATTTGGGAAAGTTTCAATGTTATTGAGGGGGGAAAAAGAAAGCGTTTTGAAGACAAAAAGAATCACCCGAGTGCAGCCAGCTGTGCAAACACAGGGCCGTGGGTCCAACATGAAGGAAAAACGAAGTTCCGCCAAGAGTTAAACTTTAACCCTGCCCATTTATCCATATTTTATGTGTATTTCATATGAGATTTCCCCTGTGCTCTTTCCCCAGCCCAGCAACTGCCTTTCCTGCTGTTGACAGCCCAGCTTGCTAAGAGGCAAACAGCAGCTCTGCTCCTGAGCTCCACTCACCTTCAGTCCTTGTCCCTGCAGGCACTGAGCCACGATGGGTTTTGCTGAGGACAAAGTGTACAACCACATCTTGAAGAACATGAGCAGGTTCTGTGACATCCACGTGGCGTCGCTGGTCGATTCCCTGAGCTGCCTCACCGATGCTGACAGGGTAAATTCTCCGTTGCTCTGAGTGCTGCTGGGCTGCGTGGGCACTCTGCCCAATGTATGTATGACGTGGGTTGGTGTACAGCTGCTTTACGTGTGCCCAGAGTGGTGAGGGAGGGAATTGTCCCCTCTGCTCTGCTGCCTGAGCCCCCATCTGCAGCGCTGCGTTCAGCTTTCAGCCCCCCAGCACAAAGATGTGGAGTTGCTGGAGTGAGTCGGGATGGGGTCATGAGGGTGCTCAGAGGTTGCAGCAACTCAGAGGGTGGTGATGCACTGGAACAGGTTGCCCAAGGAGGCTGTGGATGCCCCATCCCTGCAGGCATTCAAGGCCAGGCTGGATGTGGCTCTGGGCAGCCTGGTCTGCTGATTGGTGACCCTGCACATAGCAGGGGGTTGGAACTACATCATCATTGTGGTCCTTTTCAACCCAGGCCATTCTGTGGTTCTGTGATTCTATGAACTCTGCTGTGGAGACAGGCAGAGAGCTGGGAGTGTTCAGCCTGCAGAAGGGAAGGCTACAGAGAGACCTCACTGCAGCCTTCCAGGACATAAAGGGGCCTACAGGAAGGCTAGGGAGGAACTCTTTATCAGGGAGCGTGGAGATAAGATAAAGAGTGCTTTAAACTAAAAGAGATTTTGATTAGATATTAGGAAGAAATTCCTCGCTATTAACGTGATGAGGCCCTGTCACAGTCTGCCCAGAGAAGCTGTGGGTGCCTCATCCCTGGAGGTGCTCAAGGCTGGCCTGGATGGAGCTTTGAGCAGTGGAAAATGTCCCTGCCCTCAGCAGCAGTTGCAACTGATTGATCTTTAGGTTCCCTTACAACCCAAGCCATTTCGTGATTCTGTTTCTAAGGCAGCCTGTGCCTCTCAATGTGTTTTGTTCAGGATGAGCTTCACACCCGGCAGGAGATGCGGGGGATCCGTGCCACTGTGTACAAATTTTACCAGCACCTGAAGTGCCGAAAGGGCTGGGTGATGGACCTGATCAACGCACTGCACCAGAACAATGCAGGGCACCTGGCTGAGGAGCTGCAGCGGGTTTATGACCTCTACCAAGCCCGTAAGTGGCCTCAACACCCCTGTGTCCCCCCAGCGTGCTTGGATGCTTGTTTCTCTCAGGGTCTAGCTCCTGTTCTTGGTGGGGAGTCTGTATACAACAACTGTGTCTTGTGCAGGAGTCCATGGGTATCTGTGACTTGTCCCCAAAGATGTGTTGCCCCTGTGACATGCCCAGGGATGGCAGAATGTCTGCAGGGTTCCTTGTCCAAAGCTGCTTGGGATGACAGTGGCTTGTGTGTCTTGTTCTCCTTGTCTTGAGGGGAGATGGAGAAATGAATTAAGAGGCACTGTGGGCTTGGCTGTTATGGGGGTGGAGCGTGGGCATGAAAAGGGCTGCCTTGGGCCCATGCTCATCTTCTGTCTCCTTGGTTTTCCTGGGCTGCCTCAGCTCCTTCAGGTGCCTTGGCTCCTCCAAGTGCTTCAGCTTCTGCTGCCTGGCCTGCTGTTTCCTCCGACGGTGCCCTGAAGCCATTCTCAGGGCCAAGCTCTGCTGCAGAAGCCCCAAAGGCTGAGCCACCACGCTCCAACCCATCTGCTGGTGGCCATCCACCTCTCTCACCTGCTGCTGCCACCACTGCGACCTCAGCTGTGAGCTCGGATGTTTCCAGCACAGAACTCGATGCCAGGGCACCGGTGCAGGAATCGGTGAGCAGAGCACACGGGACTGCAAAGATCCTTTTTGGACTGGAGGGTTGGTGTTTTGGATGCCACAATTAGGCTCTTGTTGCTGACCTCTGCTGTGTGTTCGTTGCACCTGGCAGCTTCACCCATGAGGAGAAGCAGAGGGCACCTTGTCTGCTGTTTTCACACAGAGCTCTTGCAGCTGCTGCTGGTGAGAGGCAGCCAACTGTTCTCTTATAGCATTTATACAAGGCTGTAACTACTCCCCTCCACGCATGTAAGTGCAGCTTTACAGCCTCTCCATATTCTCTTGACACATGAAGCCTACTGCTTCTGTGACCTGTTCAGTCGGTGCAACTCGTCTTCAGGCTCACATGGGTCACCAGGTTTGCTTTTGAGACACCCTGGTGGCCTCACGTGCCCTCATCCTAACTGAAGTGGGGCTGCATGGTGATTTAACGTAGCTCATTTTCTTCCAGCACCCAGAAGGAAAGAGTCCCCAGCCTCCGCTGATGACGAACACGGTCTGTGATGGCAAAGAGAAACCTGTCCCATACCCCACCAAAGAGCTTCAAGAGGCAGTGGAGACCCCTGGGGCATCCAGCACAGTTTTACCATCTGTGTCCCCTGAGCAGGGCCAGGAGTGGCTGAGCCACCGGCATCCGGTGTGTGTGGACAACGGGTGTTTTGGGAACGCAAACCACCTCCAACGTGGCGTGCCAAACTTGGATCTGGGCTCTCTTCCACCAAAGGATTTGAGTGCTGCTTCTGGCCCTGAGCAAACCAGGAACGAGCCCCAAGAAGACGTCTACATTTCCAGCGAGTTGCCTGTGAGGTTGGTGGAGACCGCTGGCGGTGGGGGACTGCAGCCCCCAGCCTCTCTGAGGACACAGGAGCAACGAGCTGTGCGCAGTTCCAAGCACGACGGGCCCCCGAGCAGCTTTCTGGATGTGCACAACCCCTTGCTTATACAACAGCAGTTTGATGTAGAGCAAAAGCAGATTGAGAGAGAGCGTGAAGGAGGTGGAGGTGGGTTTCCTTCCTTTGTAGTCCACAGGTTCAGATGGAGCAGGGCTGGAGGTGCTGCTCTGCAGTCACTTAAGGTGCTGATAATGGCTGTTAGCTCCTGTCTCTTAGGAGATCCCAGTTACCTCCTCTAAGAAGGCAGGGAAGCTGGTTTGTGCAGGCATCTACCTTGACTGCTTTTTTTCCCCTAGTTTTCTCTGCAGATGCTGTTCCTCCCCTTATATACTTGGCAGACGTGCTTGCTTTGTTTCTGATGTAAAACTTCATAGCTCTGTGTCCATGCCCTCCTGTTTCAGCAGGCTGGGAACACCCCAGTCTCAAAGAGAGAGGAACAGGCTGGCAGTGCTGAGGTGCAGGCTGCGCTGGTGCTGTCTGCTTTACCTGCACCTGCTGCTGGGAAAGCTCAACTGCCCTGAGCTTCTCTGTGGTTCCAGTCCCTTGCCCACATCTTGGACTTGCTCTGTGCTGAGCACAGGCTGCAGTTTCCATTCTGTGCAAATTAACACAGAGATGTGATGAGGGAAAAAGATGAAAACCCATGAACGCAGGTAAGAACCTGCCCTGGAAGTGATGTATCCTACTGCAGCATCCCTTGAGAAGAGGCTCACCTTGAGTTCTCCTGGTTAACGCAGCGTGCTTTGTTTTCTCCTTCAGATGTTTGGAAGGAAACAGCCACCTCAGTCTCAACCTCTGCACCCAGAGATATTTCCCCATTCTGTGACACCTCCTTGAAGCCTCCTGTACGAGAGAGAACGCTGCCTGGGGAGGAAGCAGCCAGCAGCACCCCCTCCATGCCACAGAAGGAGCAAGTGGGTGACCTTTCAGTTATTAGTTGCATTTCCTTCAGGTCCTTGTGAAATCCCCATGGCAAGGATGGTTTTTGCTGCACTGTAAGATTTTCAGCTGTTGGGGGGTTTATTTAGGGGTTTTTCTTTGCTGTGTTCCTCTTTCTGTCCTGTTGTATTTCGGAGCATGCCTGGGAGAGCTGCTTTGGCTGGTGGGTGTTGGCAAAAAACATTTAGATCAGATTGTGATCCTAGTGGGGTCCTGACCCCAAAACTCACCTGGGGTGTCCCCAAATGATTCTGTGGTTCTGCTTGAGCCCTCAGGTATATGGGGGAAAGAACTGGCTCTGTCAGTCCAGATGCCCATCTCCACCCCAGTCATCTCTGTCCCTATTTGTCTCCCCTTTCTCCTTGCATCTCTCACAAATCCTAGAGGCTCCCCAGAGCCTCAACACCTTCCTACCCCTTCTGCTTTCCCTGCCCTTGTTGTTTCATGGCCCAGCCACACTGTCAGTAGCTGGAGAAAATGATAGAGAAGTGTGCTCGGTTGTGTGATGTGGGTGCCTGAGACAGGCTGAATGGGTGCTCCCCACAGCACCCAGCTGAGACTGCCCCTCTCTTTGTCTTCCAAAGGTGCTCTCTGCCTCAGTGGCCTCCCTCTCAGCTATGAATGCTGCAGGAAGCTTTGAAGGCGCAGCTGGGAAGACCCCCTCACGAGTGAGCTCTGCTGCCAGCATCTGGGCATCTCATGATAATGAGGAGGAAGACGTGGAGCTCAGCAAGCCAGGTGCCCTCCAGTCTGTAGTAGGAGAGAGCCCAAAAAAGGCAGCTGCCAGATACCTGGGCAGCCCCAGTTCCAACACATCCAGTCACCCTGGCTTGAGCAGCGACCCGCTCATGGTGAGCGCAGACAGCTTGAGGCCTGGAGAAGCACAGTCCAGAGCCAACTCAGGGCGCTGGTCTGCAACTCCAGCAGTTCATGCAGACCCTGGGGGAGAAAAGGCAGCTGGAGTGAGCCCTTATCCACCTCTGAGCTGGGCCAGCCCTTCTGTGGGCACCCACGAGGTCCATGTGGAACATCACCTCAGTGCCCTGCTGGAAGCAGGCAATGATGTCCGAGATGGAGCAGTCCCCTCTGAAGGCTCTCCTGACTCAAACAAGGGAAGTAATGCTGCAACCAACTCATCTCAGGTCAAAGTCCCCACATCAGGGGACAGCAATGGGCCGTCCCTGCTGTACATCCTCCCAGCTGTTGGCATTGCACTGATTTCAGTGTTTCTGGTGTACACACGATTGCAGAAATAGCAGCAGAGAGAAGATGAGATGCCACGGCTACCAAAGGGAGATTCCTCTTCGTAGCAGGAAGTTGGCCAGCATGTTTGAAGCCCGAAGAACAGTTAGAGGGACTGTAGGGGCTTTGTTAAATCTCTTCCCAGAAAGTTTCCTGGAAGAGGCCTTGGTTGTGTGATGCTGTTGGGTTTTGGTCTGATTCCCAACCGCCTTCCTGTCTGTGCTGCCTTCTTTTTCACCCACAATGAGGGTGTCTCTCAGGAGGGGATCCCTCGAGGCCAAAATCAGAGCCTTCCTGGTCATTCTCATCTTCACATTTGGTTCTGGATGGCCCCTCTCCTGCCAAGAAATGTTCCTGTGATGAGGATGTGCCAGGCTGGACTGTGTGCAAGCTGTCCCCTCTCCCAGGAGCCCTCATCCTGCTTCAGTGCTTTCCTTTGGAGTATCGTGCCCTGCACCTGTGGGTCAGAAATGGCACAGGATCCAGGACTTCGACACACAGCACTGACACCCCTGGGGATGGAGCAGTGGAGCCAGAAGGAGTTGTGTATGCCCTTGTGCAGCTTTCTCATGGATCAATCTCACTTCTCCTTTGTTTCTCATGGATCAATCTCACTTCTCCTTTCTGCCAGACAGGGGGAGAAAGGATTTAAGCATGTGCTTTCAGAAGACAATTTCATGCAATACCAGCATGAGCCAGACTTGCTCTCACCCAGGATTGCTGTGTGCCTTTTGATCTACAGGCTGTATTTAGTGAGCCTGGCTAGGAGGGTGGATGTAATTCTCCCCAGTACCTGGTGCAATGAGATAGAAACTTATGTCGAGGCTGGGACATAAATAGGGTCAGCTCTGTGTGATGCAGGGAAGCCATACATCAGTGCTAGCTGGTGGTCCACATGTTCTGGGTTATCTTGAGGATTCTGTTTAAAATTTCAGTCCATCATTTCCCAACTGCTCCCAGGGATCACCTTGAGAGTTTGAGGGGATTGGGCCGCAACACTTCCAGATAAGAGAAAATCCCAAACCCAAATAAGCATCCCTTGGTTCCCTCAGCTCAGGACAGCTTTCAGGGGCAGCAACGATCCTTTTCAGTTGCTGTTTGCCTTCATGTCCAACTCCAGGCAGAGCTGAACCACCCCAAGCTGCGCTGCCTGTTTCCTCTGTTGCAATGGCTGTGGGCTGTCACCATCACTCACCTACTCCCTCCCAAAAGGACAGAGGCACAAAAGTAAGAAAGTGGGTTATTCTAGTTAAAGATTATTAATTTTTTTTAAGCTCTAAATGCACCAGCATAGACTTTTAGGTTGCCCTGCAATCCTGTGAGCTGCAGGAAATGGAAACCATGGCAGGAGGCAGAGTTGGGCAAAAAGTATGGAGATGTGGAGATAGATTTGCACAGCAGAAGGCTTGTATCATGGACAGCCATGGCTTGAATGTGACTGGCTGGTCAGGGTGCTATGGGCTTTAAACCACTGCAGTGACTGAGCTGCAAGCCTGATCTGGGCTGCAGTCCTGATCCAGAAAGCTGTTGCTTTCCTGAATTTGATAATTTATTTCCCTTGGATCCCTGCTGTTCAGCACAGTTTCCCAAAACCTGTCCCTACTGCTGAGCTTCCTGGGATTGGCTGCAGGGCATGGCTGTTGTGCCCAGAGCTCAGCACAGACCTGATGGTGCAGAGGGTCAGTGAGCCCAGTGGTGGGACAAAGGGCTGCCCCTCCTCCAGGGCTGCTCCAGGAGCACACCTCTGATGGCTCTGTGTCCAGAATTGAGGTGTCCTGAGGCTTTTCTAGATGGAATAGTATTCTTGAGGTGCTGGATGTGAGCTGCTCTGACCACAGTATTTGCATGAATTGGGTTCTTACATATTCCAAAGGAAATGTGTTTTGGAAGGCACCTGCCCACCTCTTTCCAGTCCCATATTCCCAAGTTGTTGAGCCACATGCTGGTTTTCCCAGAGCTCTGCCTTATTTTTGGTTGATTGCCTTAGCACCCCGTTAGCCTGGAGGAATCATAGAATCATAAGGTTGGAAACAACCTATAAGATCATTTAGCCTCTTCTGACTTGGGTAAATGGTCTCCAAATTACAAATGGTTCTGTCACAGCACAGCAGGCTGGGGGACTTCTGCTTCGGTTTAGTAGGGCTGACAACTTGAAAAAGCCCCAAAATGCACAAAGTGCCTCCCTTATAAATGGACAAGGGCAATAAATACATGCAAGAGTGAGGTGGTTGAATTTGCTCTGACAGGGCCCAAGAGCGAACTCGAGATGTTCACTTCTTGCTCAGTGCCCAGCATTTTACTCATCCGTGGATGAGAGAGGGCGTTTTAAATGCACTTTCCATCCTCTTCTCAGAGATGGGGCACAGGGGCTGTTCTCACCATGAGAAAGAGGAGGCCTACATCTTCTCCTGCTGCTTTCTGTGCCATTTTTGAGGGTGTTTGGGAGATCTCAAGCCAGCAGCATCCATACCAAGGCTCTCTTCTCTGCCTGCAGATTTCATGTATTTTCCCAGTGCTTTTTTAGCTCCTGCACTCCCTATGAAAACACACCTGATTTATTAGCACATAAAGCATTTGTTTTTCTTGGTGTTTGCTGTGAAGTGCCTCTATTTTCCTAGCTGTCGTGTAGCACTTTAAAGACAGAAATCAGCAAAAGGGATACCTAGGATGGAATACGTAATAAAAACTGTTTGCCACTCCACGAAACTTTTGAGGGTGCTGTGTTTGTAACCTGAGGGAAAATCTCATGTTTCAGAGCCTCTGTGTGGCACAGTGACAGTCAGGCATTTATCTCTTTGGTCTCGAATTAATGCCCGACTGTCCCCTGGCTGTGAAGGGATGCGCAAGGCCTCAGCACCCATCTGCGTTGCCACGGTTACTCTGCCTGCCAATCAGCCTGCCTCCACCATCAGACACCTCACGTCATTGGCTAGCTGCCGCGTCACTCTTTCCCACGGGACGCCATAGGCCAATGCGCCGCATACTGTCCCGCCCCTCTCGGCCTCCTTAATCCCCGCCCTGTTCCGAGCTCCCGTATCGTATTGGACAGTTGGACTTATCAATAACGCTGTAGGCGGGCTCTCTGTCCGATCCTTGCTTCTCATTGGCCAGACCGCCCGTCGGTCCGTTCGGCAAAGGATTCCGATTGGACGCCGCCTCAGAAGCTTCTCCCTCCCACTTCCCGAGGGCCGGGGGCGCCGCTCCGCGCCGCTCGGCGCAGGCGCGCTGCGGGCGGTGGCTGCGGCGGTGGCCGTTGAGGAGCGCGGCGCGGTGCGGCGCGAGCGGCCCATGGGGCCGGGCCGTGCAGCGGATGGAGCCGCGGCGCAACGGCGGCGGCGCGGATGAGAAACCTCGGAGGCGGGAAGCGGAAGCGGGGAAGCCGCGGCAATGGAGCGGCGGCGGGACGGGCGCTGGAAGCGCGGCGGCGGGACCGGAGCACTGCGAGAGGCGCGGCGCAGCCTGCGGCCTTCGGCGGGACTCGGTCCGCAAGAACCGCCCGCGTGAGTGAGGCGGAGGGGGCGCGGGGGCGGGGCCTGGAGGGGGGCGGGGCCCAAAGGGGAGGGGCTGAGGGAGTGAGTCTAAGGTCGACAGCAGGAAGTGGGCGGGGCTTGACCAAAGGGGTGGGGTTATCGGTAATGAGATGTAAACGGGCGTGGCTACAGTAGGGGGCGGGGCCAGGTGGCTCCTGCCTAGAGAAGGTTTGTGAAATGACCTCGGGGACGGAGCGTCTCTTCTTGTTTTCCTGATCTCTTACTGTGAAATAAAGGAGTGCATCCGAAAACAGAAGAATTGCAATCAAAAGGTGCAACAGTTCCTATCAGAAGTCTTCCTTGAGATGTTCTCATTCCAGCTCATTGAGGCTGTGCTCCCTTTCATTCATTCCCAGACTGTGGGAGTCATCCTGCACTTGGGAAATGGTTGTTTGTGTGAAGTAATTCAGGCAATCGTGGGGTTTTCTGCATGCTGAAGGGCAGTAGGATGGGAGAGGAGTTCCACAGAGGGATGCAAGGACCACGGTAACGGTGGTAATTTCTGTCATTCCGATGTGGCAGAGTTATACTGTAAGAATATGAGAGCTGAAGGTACCAGTTGTAGCTGCAGGGCTGTTAATTAGAGATGTGCTCATTAATAGGTGGCAGGCAGCTTTTGGTGAGTGAATTATCCCTTTCCACTTCACCCTTGGGAAGTTTTAAGGGTATTTCCATCTCTGTTGAGGTTCAGATTTGTTGCATAAATAATCTTTAAAGGTCCCTTGCAACTCTAAGGGCTCCATAAAATGCAGTGGGGGTGGTTTTAGGACAAGATGATGGTTTTTGACAGAACGTTTGGAAGGTCAGCATGGTATGATTTGGAATCATGGTCATCAGTGTCATCAGTGCAGCTCTATCTGAGATATCCTCTGTCAGAGATAAACTTGGAGCAATGCAGTGGGTGTCAAGCTGCGTGCCCTCCTGCACCTTAGCCTCGCTCTTGAAGAAGCTAAAGGCCTTCAAGCTACCAGGCAGCTCAGCACTGCACAGCCTCCCCAGTCTTATAGTTCCACTTGACACCATAAGGTATGAAGTGTCTCTTTGGCCAGTTAAGGTCAGCTGTCCTTGCTCTGTCCCTTCCCAGCTCCTTGTGCCCTCCCAGCCCCTCACAACAGGGCAGCACGAGGAGCCGAAACGACCTTGGCTCTGTGCAGCACCTCTCAGCCAAAACTGAAACATGGCTCCGTTATCAGCTTTATTTTCCTCCCAAAGCCAAAGCACAGCATTGCACCAACCACTATGGAGAACATTAACTGTGTCCCAGCTGAAACCAGGACAGCCTCACTGGACTGGAAGCACTGCAGTTGAATAAAGAGGACGTTCACATTGAGTTTACTCTAACATAGCTGCAGTACAGCTGTACCCAGTGGCTTTCTGCAGGCAGGGCAAAGTGCCAGGCATGAAGCTGGTGATACCCAATGGTAATGAGCAGTGGAATGTATTTTTTTTCTCTAAAGAATCTTCTTTCTGATAAGAGAAATAGGTCAGCAATTCGGTTCAGCAGCCTTCTCCCATCCCACGTCTGCCTGTGCTCCCCTGCTCTGCTCCTGCCTGAAAACAAGTTTTCCTTGGCAGAGATGGCTTTAGCTTGTTTCCCTGAGAAACAAGTTATATTTCTCTTTTCTGCAGGCTGTAGTTCTTTGGAAATAATCATAATAAGCAGCTTGTTCTGGTGCTTCTGGCAGGCACCATCCGTAGTGCTGTGCTGTCTGACAAAAGGAGAGGGGAAGGACGTTGTATCTGTGTTGTAGGAAGTGTCTGAGTTCCAAAGTGGAGCCCATATCTAAACCATCAGCAGCTGCTTTGCAATACAAAACAAGCTTTGACATACATATTTTTTTTTAAATACCCTTTTTCTGTTTTGGAATTGCATACGAGCTGTGAATTCCCAGCAGAGCCTATTTTTAGAGATGTGAGGAGAGGGAGACTTAGTGTCACTTTGTATTTAATGCCGACCAATGTTCCTTTATTGATTTCTTTTCCAGCTGTTCAATTTCCATGGCCCCACTACAATATAATGCTGGGTATTTGAGAGGGAACGTGGCAGCCTTGTCATACCCTCAGCTAAACCATCAGTCTTCACTGCTCTGCAGGCAGATCTCCTTAGCTTCCAGAATAATTGGCTCTTAACTGAAGGATCAACCTGCAACGCCACTTCTCACATGGAGAAAATCCCCCCTGGGGGTCTTTAGTTTGTATCACCTCGTTCATCTTGACACAGCTCTCCAAATTTGAACCCAGCCAGAAGAAATCTGTCGAGTTTTGTTATTATTATTATTTATAACCCATCCAGACTTATAAAGCAATTTATATGGCAGAGGCACTTTTGGTTTTCTTGCCCCCAAGAGCTTACAGGGCAGGGATGGTGGCATCCCTAGGCATCCCAGGGCATTGGGACTGAATGGACTTTAAGGTCCCTTCCAACCCAACCATTCCATGGTTCTATGATTGCAGCTCCTTGCTTGCATCCCTGCTACTTTCCACATGGAACAGCATTGTGTTTTATTTGTTTTTTTTTCACCTTAGCAGTGGTGCTCATGGCTGTCAGTGTCCAAAGGGTCCTGGTGCCCCCCAGCCCTATGTGTGCTGTGCTGCAGCTTTCAGAAGGGCCTTTGGGGGCTCACGAGGGAGAGAGCTGTGCGTGAGAAACGGTGGAACAAATCAGCATTTGAAGACAGATCTCGATAGCAGATGGTGATGGCGTTCATCCAACAGAGCTTCCTCCCTTTGAAGGCCTGGATTTTTCTAGCTCTCGGATAGGGAATGGCTGTGGCTGCCTTACATTCTCATGTTGGCTGATTTCCTGTAAGAAAAAGCACAGTTCTCCATACCTGGAAATAATTTTGTGCTCCACACCCCTTTCCAAAAAGAATCGAACCCATGGCATATGGGAGAAGTTTTGACCATGATCTTGGTTATTTGAGTGTTTGTTTGCATAGGTAAACCGAAGAACTGTTTTCTTGGGAGTGTTTTGAGCATTCCTTGGATTCTTAACTTGTGCATTGTGAGAGATCCCAGCCTTGGAGGAGTTTGGGAAGCGTTGGGATGTGGCACTGAGGTGGTCAGTGGGGATGGGTTGGGATTCTTAGAGCTCTTTTCCAACCTTTCCGATTCTCTGATCCGTAATGAAGAATCAGAATCGTGAAGGTTGGAAAAGAGCTTTAAGATCATGGAGTCCAACCTCAACCCATTCCCACCATGCCCACTAATCTATCTGATTGAAGTTAATCACCTGCATAAGGTGTCTGTAGAGCTGTCTGTGATGATTCTCTCCAGCCTGGGAGAGCTGGGAGCAGCACCATCTCCTGCTGCCCCCACAGCAGAGAGCTGCCATAGATCATCCCGCAGATTATCGACGTTTTAGATGTTGCCAACACTAAAAACGACCTGGGGTGCTGTTTCTAAAGAGCTTTCCCTCTACTGGGACTGGGAAAGCCATTCTTGTGCTCTAAAATCTGGAAGGTTTCTGTCTCTGCAGGTTGCAGTTTGGTGTGTGAGCCTCCCAGCTGATGTAGTGACAAAGGTTTGGAATGAAACGACAAAAGGGTTGGAATGGGATGGTCTGGAAGATCCCTTCTGACCCAAACCATTCCATGGTTCTGTGAAGGTTCAGAACCTTGAGGCAGTGAAGAGAAAGGAAAGCAGCAGCAATGTTAGTGCAGAAGTCCTTGGGTTGCTCTCTGTTGGCCAGCCATGCAGGTTGCTCCCTCTCTCATCCATCAGCTGTTCTTTTCATCTCTCTTCTTGTTTCAGGTGAATGCATCAGAAACAGAGGGTGGTTGGGGTTTGGACGTGCTTCCTAAAATAGACCTCAGGCCTCCTTTTGTCCCTTGGTGATGGCTGGGGGTGGCCTCTGTAAATCCATAGAAATGATTTGATGCTTGAAGGAGAGCTTGGGAAGCTGCTGGCTGCAGCAGCTGCTGGGGAGGTGGGGATGCTCTCTGAGTCCACCCACCAGGGAGAGGTATACTGCACTTCTGGCAGCAGGGCAATATATTGGGTTTATAAGCCAATATAAGCTGCATTTTGCCCTACGGTATCTCGTTAGCTCCAGCCTATCCTTTAGCTCATTAATAGCAATATTAATCCGTTCCAGCTCTCAGCTCTAATCTCAGATTCCATCTGATGGGGGTTTTCTCTTGATCTTTTCCAAGAAGCTCATTATCTCATACAGCTGTAAATGTTGCTGGGCCTGACACTAATGCATATTTTGTACCGTGGGGGAATTTGCCTAATAAAATAATCCAATTAGACATTTGTTTTTGTCTCTCTGGGGCATCTTAGACTACTTGCCTACCTCAGTGCTGTGTGTTGTAATTAGTTACCGTTTGTGCACGGCTTTGATGTCGGAGCACCACTGTTATCCTTGGCTCTGGCTCTCTAAAAAAGCAATAGCTGGGGATTCAGGTTGCTGGAGGGATACTGCAAGACCTGGGATGCGTCTGCCTTCGTGGTGCTCCTGGGGTTGTAGTAAGGATTTGGAGTGGAGGCAGTGTGTGCAGTTCCTTCTGCTGTGTTTCACCATCTCTTTTCCCCCTTTCTTTTCAGTCTTCCCTTGGTTTGGCCTGGACATCGGTGGGACCTTGGTCAAACTTGTTTATTTTGAACCAAAGGACATCACTGCCGAAGAGGAGGACGAAGAAGTGGAAAACCTCAAAAACATCCGCAAGTACCTGACGTCAAACGTGGCCTACGGATCCACAGGCATTCGGGATGTGCACCTTGAACTAAAGGACCTTTCCCTGTGTGGACGTAAAGGCAATCTGCACTTTATACGCTTTCCTACCCATGACATGCCTGCTTTTATTCAAATGGGAAGCGAAAAGCACTTCTCGAGCCTCCATACTACCTTATGTGCCACGGGAGGTGGAGCGTACAAATTTGAGCAGGACTTTCTCACAGTAGGCATTTTTGGCTTGTATACAATTCGGATTTGGCAGCGAAACTTGAAGCTTAAAGCTAGAAATGCCCCCAGTCCTTCTCTGCAGCCTCTCAGCTTTTCTAAGCCTTAGCTTAGACTGGAATTAAACTCAGCTCAGGAAGCAGGGTGTGGAGTCACGTTCCCGTCTCTAAATTAGGCTGTGTTCTTTCCTGAAAGCTCATGCCACATTCCTGTAACTCCAAAATTGCTCCCTGCCCTCCCTGCTGTGTGCTCTTACAGGGCTTTGTATCGCCGCTCTGCGATTACACTCAGCTCAGTGTTCTTTCTTCCTCATTGCTGTGTGTTCCCATGCTTAATTTTCACTCTTTGTTTGCTCCCATAGCTTCGTTTCTAGCACACGTTGTGCTGCTGATGGAGGTTCAGGCAAATAAGGTGGTGAATTACCTGGAAGGGGTTAGCAGTTGGAGTTTGACGTCGTCACGTGGCTCCATTATCATCAGTTAGATTCTTGTTTATGGGTGAAGTATGTGTCTGCTAAATATTTAAACAAGGCTTGAAAAATGTACCAAATAAAGAAGCTTTTTAAGGCACTCTCCAGGCAGTGACATAAGGGAAGAACAATCTTGATTTCTCCCGCTTTGTTTTTTCTTTTCTTTCTCTTTTTGTCAAACATTTACGCCCTATTTAAATCTCCTTTGCTTTTCTTGCCAGTCCCTCCGAGTCCCAGTGGGATTGGATTCTCCTGGCCTCCACCAATGGCTCAGGTTGTTTATTGCCCTCCACTTCAGGGCCAGGACGGTCAGCAGTCCACAGGGGGTGAGACGCAGCCTTGCTGTCATCTGCACTTCTCTCTCTGTCCCCGTAGGGAGGAATGGAGATAGCTGGAATTTAGCTGGCGGTGAGCATCGACTCTCCCATCCCTAACTACTTCTTCAATATTCTTTTTTTCCCCTGCCAGATGGGTGACCTTCAGCTTCATAAGCTGGATGAGCTCGACTGCCTTATTAAAGGAGTCATGTACATCGATTCCGTTGGGTTCAACGGCCGTTCAGAGTGCTACTATTTCCAACACCCGACCGACACCGAACGCTGTCAGAAGCTCCCGTTCACTTTGAGGAATCCATACCCTCTCCTTCTGGTGAACATTGGCTCAGGGGTCAGCATTTTGGCTGTGTATTCAAAGGAAAACTACAGACGGGTGACGGGCACCAGGTGAGTGCTGCAACGGGCTGCGTCCACTTTGGAGTTTGTTTCAGCCTGCAGTGTGTTTCTGCACTGTGCTTTTGGGAGCAGGCTGCATCGAAGGTGCTGTGTTGAGTGTCACACTCCAGCTTTTACTGCAGTCCCTCGTCTCTGCCAACAAAGATTCCTCCTGGAAAAGGGAATCTGAATTTCATGTTTCAGCCTCCTTACTGCAACAGGCATCTTTAAAAGCTGGTTTCTCAGCTGCAGGATTTAACTGGATGTATCAGAGACCCCAAATATGAGCAATGTTTAGCTCCAGTCAGTTCAGCAGATGTGCTGGGACAATCTTAGTTCCCCACACAGCTTCTGGACGTTAAGGAACGTTTGGATTCTGTGTCGAGGGACATGGTTTAGTGAGAACTATTGGTGAGAGGTGGGTGGTTGGACTGGATGATCTCATAGGTCTTTTCCAACCTTGATGTTTCTGTGATTCTGTGGACAGCTGCATTGAAAATGCGACTGTTGTGGCCCAGTGAAGCCAAAGAGCTTTGTGGCTGTGAGCTTCCCTGAAGTTCATGAAAATGAGCATTGATGAAACCCCTTGGCACAGGTCTCAATCCTATTAAACATCGTTAATGGTGGTTTACACAGTTAGGTGACGGCACGTCGCGTTTCCCAAAGCCCAGTGAACGACTTTCCTCTTGCTTTCCATTGCAGTCTCGGAGGGGGAACCTTCTTTGGGCTCTGCTGCCTTCTCACGGGTTGCTCCACCTTTGAGGAGGCCATGGAGATGGCATCCCGTGGGGACAGCACCAAAGTGGACAAGTTGGTGAGGGACATTTATGGAGGAGACTACGAGCGGTTCGGGCTGCCAGGCTGGGCCGTAGCATCCAGGTAATGGTGGTCACTGCTGGGTTGTTGTCAGCACAGGTTGTGCAGCAATGAAAAACCAAACGTCTTAATGTCTCAAGACTACACTGATTCTTTCACACTATCATTCGAGTTAACCCAGCAATTCCCTTTTTCTTTTTTCTGGAATTTTGATGCAAGTAAACCTTTAACCCTAAAACTTTCTTGACAGTTTTGGAAACATGATGAGCAAGGAGAAGAGGGAATCTGTGAGCAAAGAGGACCTGGCCAAGGCCACCTTGATAACCATCACCAACAACATCGGCTCCATCGCGCGGATGTGTGCGCTCAATGAGGTATAGGTGAAAGCCATTCTGTTGTTTCCCTTCTGAAGCCTCACTTCTGTACTGCTGTTCTGCTGTCTCTCTTTCCCTGCACGCTTTCCTGTGGCTGGGTGTTCATTCTTGTCTTTCTGGATCTTCACTGCGTTGCAATCTGTCCCTTTTTTGGACTCATCGGTGTTGAATCCAAATTTTGATCTTGCTTGTCTGTGTACTTTGAGGCAGGTCACTGTGAGCTGAGTTACTCCCCATGAATTTGGGGCTGGCTCTTGGGAGGTTCTCTTTGGCAGCACGATACGGCCCCTTTTCCACCACAATGCTGTGTGTTTTCTTGTGTATTTAGCACTGAAGCTGGGGTGGAGGGGGAGAGGTGGGAGACCTTTCCTACGTTCTTTTCACCACTTGCTTTTGTTCTCCTGGTCAAGCAGCACCACTTTCCTGGACATGACTGTATCTCTGTGCTTTCAGCTTCTTTACAGTGCTGCCTTGTTGCGTTCATGTCAAGCAGCATTGTACAGGGCTATGAAAGAACAGAGGCATGCTCTTGAGTTTGAGCCTCTTCCTATGGTCCGAGCTGACAGAGGGAAGCACACTCCACTCTTCCTGTTGTCTGTACTTACTGCTATTTACTTGTAAAACTTGTAAGCACCATACCAACAGAACATCTCAGTGGAAAACATACTTGAACGGCTACAGATGGCCTTTTAGAGAGCACTACAAAGTGCCATTGCTTTTCTTCTGACCCTCAGGTGGTGTTTCCATTGTTACAAGCAGTACCATGGAATCCAGCCTTAACGTTCCCATCTTTTTCTTCACGCTTGCAGAACATCGACCGGGTCGTCTTCATCGGCAATTTCCTCCGGATCAACACCATCTCCATGAAGCTTCTGGCCTATGCTTTGGATTACTGGTCGAAGGGACAGCTGAAAGCACTGTTCTTGGAACATGAGGTGAGATTCCATTTCACATTTCTCTTGTCAAACCTATCATTTCCTGTTATTCCTTCCCCACGTCGCTCGCGTGCCCGCCTTTGGGCTGTTAACGGATCTGTTTGCTCCTCAGGGTTACTTTGGTGCAGTTGGTGCTCTGCTGGAGCTCCTGGACTCAGCCTGATCCAACCAGGTTCCATACGTTCGAGCAATGAAGTCACAGTGCCCACATGAAGCTTTAAAGCACTTTCATCAATGCCTCTGAGTGCTATATGTCTGTTTAGTTCCCACATTACAGGTGTCAGCTGCAAGGTTCTGTGTTCTGCAGATGAAAGATGTCACATTCTCATTCTCCTACAAATCTGTGGAGGGGTGAGAACTGCAGCACATAACACCATAAGGACCATTCCTGTTCCCTCCAGACCCCACAGTGCTCTGCTGGACACAGTCATGCTATCAGCAGGGCTGCATAGAACGATACCAAAGAGTTTACTGTTTCTTTCAGTCAAGTATTTGGGATTTTTTCTGTAATGCTTCATTCAGTGCTTACATACTAAAGTAGTTTGGGGGGTGAAGCTGCACTTCCCATATATATAGCAGTTGTTCTTTTGTTTCCTTCTTGCACACAGCCTGAATTAGGCTGTGCACTTTGCAACCTCTGAGGATGCTCTGCTCTCAGGACACGGATTTGGAAGTAGCACGCTGCTTCCTCAATAAACGATCAGAACAACAGAGATGCTGATAATGGATAATATTGACAACCAGAAAAGCTGAGTGCGTCCCATTTGTAAACTCCTTGCTTGGTGCTCTCCTTTGCTGTGCCTCTCCTTTGGGTCTGAAATGATACATTCAGATGTGCCCTGTCTTAGATGAGACCCTGAAGCTGTGCTGGGAGATGCAGGCCGTGCAGACACAGCACAGAGCGAGGTGTTGGGGATGGGATGGGATCTTTTCCCCGTGGCCACGGTCCCCCCTTCAAACACACCCTGCATCCAAAACCTGCCTTTATTTACATTTCAAGTCAAATCACATGCAAGCCTCTTCCTTTGCTTTTCTTTTTTTTTTTTTTCCTTAAGAATAGTGTGATTAGCAAAACAAGACGCGTTAGAATCTTGAAACAGCAATTAAATATACAAAAATAGAGCTTACAAAAAAAAAAAAAAAGCCCCCAAAAACAACAACAAAAAAAAACAACACCTCCCTCCCCCCTCCAAAAAAAAAAAAAAAAACAAAAAAAAAAAAAAAAAAACAGCAAACGTTTTTAAAAAAATATTCTGCTGCAGAATTTGTAGTGTACAAACACGTCTATGAGGCTCCACGCTCCATAAACAGGCTTGGGAGTCGCAGGGTCTGTACAGGAGGGGCCCCCCCAGAGCCCACCCAGCCCCGCCGTGGGGTAAAACTGGGACCCCCCCCCCCATAAAGAGCTGCA